ACACTGGTGAAGAGAGAGGAAGAGGATTTTTAGAAAGCTTTCTGTGTGATACATTATGAAAATCCTGGGTCAACTCATTAAAGGAGGTCTACAACAATCGTCTACACAGTTCTTCAGGGCTTTAGAATGTTTCTTTGAAGAAGATGCCATGAAGAGACTGGCCCTAGGGAGAGCCAGATATATTCAGGCTACTGTCTCAGTGTCGGTGAAGGAGTCATTGCCTGCCATTAAACCAAGTTAAGATGACAGTTTGTGGAATTCAGTGTGAAATAACTGCAATGCTGATTACAGTAACGTATTTTGTTTTCCATTAGCAGAACTGAAAGCTCATAAGGCCTTAAAAGGCAACTAATCTTTCTTCTTTATGGCGAAAATTCGTTCTAGAGAAATGAGTTGAAATTTTCAGAAAGTCCCAATCTATCCTCATAGTTAATGCATCAGTGTTGAACTTCAGGTCAGTGAATAAAATGTATAACCAAATTATGTTAAATAATTATATTTAAGTTACCTGAAATGTGGGATCATAAATCTGCAACATATTATGATATTTCTCCCTTTTGGTCTGACAATCCTTATTCAAGGACTATGGCAGATGAAAGTTTCTTTAACTATTCTCAAAGATTTCCCAAAGTTTTAGGGACTGATTGATTCATCAGTTTGAGGACTGATTGACATTGGTGGATCACAAATTTGCCAATATGCCTAAACTTTTAGACACTTATGATACAAAGGAGTTGGGGATGGTGGTAATCTTTAAGTGGATTGAAGCTCTGAGTTTTCGAACAAAAACATTTTATACTGACTTCCATTGTTCTGTAAGTTCTGATTCAAACAAAATGTTCTACCTTCCAATTTTAATACACAGCAATCCATATACATACGTAACTTTTAACAATGAATTTGATTTTGAAGAGAATAAAATAGAAGAAGAAATTTAGTTGTTTTAACCAGAAAATGCAAACATGTACATTTAAAAAGTTATTCTATTTGAAATGTTTAATATTATGATGATTTAAAAGTTTCAGCTAAAATGTTAAGCATGTTAACATTTGCTAACATTTGTAAATGTTGGAGGCTGTGATAGTGCCCCAAAGGTGAACTATAATAAATAATAGGCAAATTTTTATCTTTGAAAATACAGACTGTCTAGAGAAAAAAGGAAACAGGAGAAGTAGGCTCCCAACCATAGCTCTCTATGTAAGTGGGAGTGGCTCTGGAAGTTTCAGGAATGGTGGGGCGATGGGGAAGGTCTTTTTTTTTTTAAAATTTAGGAAAAGTAAAAATAAGATTTCCTCAGCTAGTCTCAGACTTTCATTATTAGTACCTAAGTAGAATTTAGGCAAAACCAAAGGAAATCAATACAAATCTTAATTAGAGGCTAAGAAATCAAACCCACCTGAGTTAGTTATAGAGTTGACAACAGTCTGCTTTTTTGGGTGGAAACTGGCTCACAGGGTGGTTTGGAATAAAGTAGTAACCTGGCAAAGGCCACCCTAAGATTGCTTCTGGCCCACTCCAGTTCTGCCTTCCTTGGCTCCAACCTCATCCTTAGTGATGTTTCCACCTTGCTACTGGGTCCACAAACAGGCAGGTGAGCCAATTGCGTGTAATTTCACTCACACATAGAGAAAAACAATTCGTGTCGGTCAGAAACTTCATAAAGGTTCTCTTTGGGATGTGCGGAGGGCTTATTGGCCTTTGTCAAGTTACAGTTCTGAATATTTTATCTTATTTATTTTTAAAAGTTAAATGCCATTTGTTTTTCTTTTTTTCTTTTTTGTCTTTTTTTCTTTTTAGTTCATGAAGTCTAGTTATTATACTTTAAGTTCGTTAGGCGGGGGTACGATGTGGCCATAACGTAGCAGGTTTCGCTGTCGTACATATGTATACTTGTGCCATGTGCGGTGCTGTCATTTTCCACCCATCAACGCGGCTCGAGCGCCCAGTCAACTCGTCATTTTACATGCACGGTATAACTTCCCAAATGGCATCCCCTTCCCTCCGCCCCATGATAGCCCGCCCGGGTTGATGTTCCCTGTCCCCGGCAGGTTCCAGCTGATCTCATTTGTTTCAGTTCTCACCTATGAGTGAGAACATGCGGTGTTTGGTTTTCTGTTCTTGTGATAGTTTGCTAAGAATGATGGTTTCCAGCTGTTTTTCACAGATAGTAAAAATCTCCCTGAAATTGCTCTATCTAATTAATCAATCAATTAAATTATTGATTGATATTACTAATTACTTTTACTTCCACCATGAAGCTAGGCACCAAGCAACTCTGAAACCAATACCCAAATTAGGCAAACAAGGATCCAACAAAATTCAAAAATTACCTAGAAGTGGTCTCTGTATGTGTCCACTGAGATTTAAAACAAATTTCAGTGCAGGGGAGGGTGAGGCTCAGACAATGTCATTTCCCAGCTGCAATGGCGTCCGATCAGCCCCAGGGTAACTTTGGGGCTACTTAGCATTATTTACAAAGGGTCTAATGCTCTGGACTTCTCTAGTCTTTCATCAGATCCAACCCACTCTGTCCTCCACTGCAGTCACACTGAACTGGCTCTATTCCTTTTGCCTGAAACACACTTTTCTCCCATTTCCTACTATTCCTTCAAATACTAATGTGTGGCTGCAGGGAGCGGTGGCTCACGCTTGTGATCCCAGCACTTTGGGAGGCCGAGGCAGGCGGATCAGTTGAGGTCAGTAGTTCAAGACCAGCCTGGCCAACATGGAGAAACCCAGTTTCTACTAAGTATACAAAAAAATTAGACGGGCATGGTGGTGCTCACCTATAGGCCCAGCTTCTCAGGAGTCTGAGGCACAAGAATCTCTTGAACCCAGGCGGCGGAGGTTGCAGTGAGCAGAGATGGTGCCACTGCTCTCCAGCCTGGGCGACAAGAGCAAAACTCTGTCTCAAAACAAACAAACAAAAATGCTAATGTAGATTTTTCTTACTGGTTCCCCAAGGCTGGATCAAAAACTATGTTAAAAGAATGGGTGAGCTCCGGCAAAATGAATGATGGAAAAATGAAGTATTACTATCCATACAATCCATTTTCCCTTTTTACCTTAGTCCATTATTATGCAAATCCACTATGTTTTTAAAATGACATCATAGTCATAATTATTGACAGAGTAGCCCCTGCTGAACTCGTACTATTTGAAGTTTGAAAAGGAACACTAAAGTCATCGTGTTCTGCCCCCCTGATATTACAAATGAGAAAGCAATTAGAAGTAAAGAGGAGAAAAGCGTTAATTGAAGAGGCCACTAGGAAAACATAATTACATGGTCTGGGATTACTTCATTATGAGACATTATGAAAATGTTCAATCCAATGAAAGTCAGCAATATATAGGTAATGCTTCAATTACATCTGCTATACTTTGGAAAACTACGTATTAAATATTCTTAATTTACCAGCTAGTCAGTTTGCAGACAGGTAAGAAGAAAAACTTGGAAAATAAGAAAAAGAAACTACTTTTAAAATAATCAATTACCATATGGCAATCTACTAAAGAGTGTTATACAGTTATAGTTCATCTATTTCTTAGTAAAAGTTCATTTAAAATCTTTTTTTTCTTTTTTTTTTTTTTTTAGTGGGAGTCTCGCTCTATCGCCAGGCTGGAGTGCGGTGGCACAATCTTGGCTCACTGCAAGCTCCGCCTCCCAGTTTCAAGTGATTCCCCTGTCTCAGCCTCCTGAGTAGCTGTGGCTACAGGCGCGTGCCACCAAGCCCAGCTAATTTTTTTTTTTTTTTTTGTATTTTAGTAGAGACGGGGTTTTGCCATGTTGGCCAGGATGGTCTCGATCTCCTGACCTCTTGATCCACCCGCCTCGGCCTCTTAAAGTGCTGGGATTACAGGCGTGAGCCACCGTGCCCAGCACATTTATATCTTTTTAATAAAATAGATATGTATTATTAGATACTATAGTGGAAGGAGAAATTAAAACTTAGAATGTTAACTCTCCTACGGCAAATCTAAATAAAGGTTCCTCATTTCAGTAGATTCTAAATTTATATAGTGTATAATTGATGTGTTTTATTTTTAATTATGATCATCCTTCCTTCTTACCAACATAATTTGAGATTTTATATGAGTGTATATATACAAAAACAGGCCAGGCACAGTGGCTCATTCCTGTAATCCCAGCACTTTGGGAGGCTGAGGCAGGCAGATCACTTGATACCAAGAGTTTGAGACTAGCCTGGCCAACATGGTAAAACCGTGTCTCTACTAAAAATACAAAAAATTAGCCAGGCACGGTGGCAAGCACCTGTAATCCCATCTACTCTGGAGACTGAGGCAGGAGAACTGCTTGAACCTAGGAGGCAGAGGTTGCAGTGAGCTGAGATTGCACCTTTGCACTCCAGTCTGGGCAACAGAGTGAGAATCGGTTTAAAAATAATAATAATAATAATAATAATAATAATTCCAAAGATCATACATATATCACACACACACACATATGCCCTGAACCTTGTTAAATACATTTAATTGGAAAAATAAAAACTGAAAAAGATTAGCAAAAGATGCTTTCAAAAATCATATATTTTAAATAAATGACTGTTTTAGCATAAATGTATTTATGATAATTTTTATGATAATTGATTATTATTAACACATTTTTGAAAATTAGTGTGTACCATGAATAACTAAACTACCAAGAAAAAAATGAATGGAAACTATAAAGTGTATTAAACTATAACTTTGAAGTATACTAAAGAGGGTTTACACATGTGACCAATATTTACCATTTATTAATGTGTATCTTTTAATAAGAGCTTTTTTTAAAAGAAAGCTTCTAAAAGATTTCTAAAAATTTATTTCAATATGAAAAATTAAAAGTGTAATTTCCTGAACAACATATGTTTAATATAGAATACAAAGAAATGTTTTAAGGTAATGATTATGACAGTCCTGGTAGGATAATGTGTTTCCTGTTGCGGTTTCTTGTGCATAATGATGATGAGGTTCTACTTCTCACTCCACACTACACTTACCTCCACATTTTGGAATTGGTCCACTCCACATTACTTTTCCATCCATCAGAATACATGTAATTGTTTCTGTTCCCTGGGTTTTAATAAATCCTTCTTCACAAATTACTGAAATTGAACTTCCTAATTGAAAGTTGTCCCCAAACCGCCGTGCATTGATTGGTATTCCAGGATCAGGGCATTCATTATGTCCAAATGCTTTAGAATAATATGCAAAGAAAAATACACACATACAACATTAGCCAGAGAGAGATCTTTCTATATTTTGGGTTAAAAAAAAAAAAAAAAGAGAGAGAGAGAGAGAGATGTTTTAAAAGGTTGTGTTTATTTCTACACAAGTTTTTATTTATTTGCTTTAAATTTGAGGTTCTCTGACCATACTTGTTTGCCTGTGATGTACAATAAATGTGATTTTTTAAAATACGAATTATACTCTAAAATTATAAAATTTCAAAATAGAATTATTTCTGCTTATTTCTGGAGACCATGAGACTAGCTAAGAATATGCAAATATTTCCAGTATAAGCTGGTCAGAATTTCAACTAATTAAAATGCAAAGCAATTGACCAAACCCCTTCACAAATTTTTCTTTATTTTTGTGTATTTCCAACTGGAAATAGAGAGAGAGTGAGTTTCACAGTGAGAAATAAAGTGAAATGTCTCAATCTAGTATGAAAGTTTTACAATTTTTAAAAATAATTTTCCATGACATTTATTTTCTGCCATCTGTGAAAAGGGAAGAGAGTTAATTCTTTTGCAATTATCATGTTCTAGGCACTGTGATATGTTATTATCTCATTTAATATTTAGATGAGGAAAGTATTGCCATCTATTCAAAAGAGTAATGTTAGACTCAGGAAAAGTTAAGTCGCTTGCCTAAGGTCATAGAAATAGGACTTGATAGGATTGAAATGTATTCCCTGGACTGGTTTTTAATTTTTTCTCAACAACCTATTGTATCTTGGGTTATCTGTCTCACATCTCTCAGGAGAACATGAGTTCTTGAGTTCAGGGCCACTATCTTATTCTACCTTGTTTCTCTCACAGTTTATATTTGGCTAAATTACAGCAAAGAGCAGGAGTATAATAAAAATGTGTTTATTTGAATTTTTCATAGATTATAGATTACATGAACAATCCAAATTTTTCTCTGTGTTCATCTGAGTGACCAATTGTATATTATAAAATTTTAATGTATTATAATATAAATGGAATAATATTTAAAGTAGCAAAGTCTAAATGTGTAAAATATATTTTATGAGATGCTTATAATTTATTATATTTATACTGCATTAGTACAGGCAGTTATTTTATATTTTCTCACTAATCATCACTTTGATGCTGGTTATAAATTGTATAATTTTACTATCTGTTCTCCTTATTTTGAATGAAACAGTGCAAAATAATATTAAGGTAAGTTTTAGAATACATAAAATATGTTTTGTATGTATACATATTTCCAATTATTATTTTATTTTGTAATTTTAAAAATTCAATTTTAATTAAGCAGTGCGACTCTAATATAGAGTACCTGATTGACATTTTTTCAGAAAAAATGAATCTGATTAGTAAGCGTTAAATAAAATAAATTTCACATTATTGATTATTTACTATAGAACAGAACCAGGAACAGGGAGAACTAGTTCCATAGTACCCTGAAAAACTATCAACATTAAAGGTAATAATATTGTTTATTTAAGACAAAATAAAAATTACAGATAGATAGATGCATATACATATCTATCTTTAGACATGTACATGAAATATTTTTAAAAGATTCTCAGATAAAGCAGTCTTTTTATACAACAAGTTTCTATGACACACTTCACCGCTAATTTAACTTTGATAATAGGCAATTACATGTTTACAACTTACAGTTACACTATTCACCACTAGTGTCGCTTTGAAAATACAACAACTATACTTTGTTACTACCTGCCAAAGCTTAACATTGAATAGGTGAGGATGGGAGTGAGGTGTGAAATTCTTTCTATAAAGCAACAGGAAGAGCTGGAAACTAAATCCTATTATTATGTGACACTTAAATATTAACTCATCCAATTGGTCTGACACAGTGTAAAAGCTTCAAGGAAAAGCAATAAAAATTACTAGTATTCTATGGTTTCAGGTATAATATTTGCAAACAGAGGCATTAGTATGTAAGTATTATTAATCTACTAAATTTTTTTCTTTTTTATGTGATTCATCTTTTTTCTAGAATTATAAACATTTTTGCAGATAAATAATATTCAACATCTCACACAGTAAAACAAAATGTCAAGATTATTGTTCAAAAACCAACTAAACAATAATGGCTAATGTTTATTAAGCTTTTACTAGGTAATATGTACTTTGTGCTAAATTATTCACATGCATCACCTAATTTATTCTTTATAGCAATCCACTGTGGTTTTACTAATGTGAGTATTGTGGCTCAGTTATAAAACCTAAAACAAAACTAAGATCCAAAGGTCATTACTTCCTTTTCTATGATGCTACTGTAGTCACGTGATTTCTTCTTTGGAATTTTAATTCTATGCCATTATTAGTTGTTTAACATCTATTGGTGCACGAATATCTTCAAGGGAAACTCTATTTCTCTTTCACGTTGCATACAAATAGCAAAGTACGTGATCTATAATAGGTTTGAGTTTATGCTAAGATATAAATATGTTGGCTGATATAACAATTATAAATATATTGTCTTATATAAAAACAATATTTGAAACATATTTCCTTGATATTGGACCTCTCACAAAGAAAGAAATGTATTAATAATTATAATAATAGTAATAATAAGGAGTAAAATGTGATTGGAAATGAAGGAAGAAATGATCAACTTTGGCACAATGAGATTTACAGCTTTTACAAATTTTCTTAACTAGGAAACAAGAGAACCAACATGCATGATCACTTTTCAACTCAAATTTATAGAAATATATTATATGGGAAAAAAACAGAAACAGAAACTTACTGTTGTAAGTGATGTTAAAGCCACGTCCTGACATGGAGTGGTCAGCCTGAAATTCTAATCGCAGTATGTGACTATTACTAGTAAGATGGGAAGGCACCTCAGCCCCAGTAAAGGTTCCAAGAATTGGGGAATCTGGAGAGTCACCATCTTTCACAGCAAGGAAATCAAACTGGGATTCCAGATCAAAATCATTGAAAGAAAGATGTATCCGGCTCCCTGGATCAGAGATTATCGTCCAGATGCAATTTAAATTATTTCCATACCCTTCTGGGTAATCAGGAGAAAGAACTGTTCCCATTGGTGCAGTAAAGTTAGAGAGGCAGGGAACTGGTGAAATAGGAAGATTATAAAATATGATAAATATTCAAAAATAATATTTCACCTTATTTTCTCATATTCTACAATTATGATAATTAGCAGTATAATAAGATAATATTAAATTATGTAAATTATAAAACAGAACAAAAAGGTTACCATTTTTACATATTGAAAAAGGCAACTAGTACTTTGGATAAACTTAAGGCTCTACCTTTAATGCACAAAAATATAATTGGAATAATAGCAAATTTTTGACACATATCTTGCTTATGTTAGACTGTGCAAAGTGTTCATTTCAGTGTTTAAAAAATGAAGAAATATATGGAAGTTCCCATAGAAAGGAATAAGGTTCTTGAAATGATTGAAGACAAATATTATTAAGTGGATATTAACAGAACAAGAATCCGGTGGCTCAGAAAATACTCAAGGTAGTGGTTATCAATGTGTGAGTTTCATTTCTATGGTGGCAGTGGATGTTCTGATAGTTTACCACACAAATAAAGAGATAAATTAACTTCTATAACAGACATTATTAGTGGCTAAAACCTGAAGAACAACTAAATGAGAGCTCTTGCATCACACTAAAATGAAGTCGTCTTTCTCCTCCAGTTTTTTAACTTTTAAAACATCTGATTTGAAAGTTCACATAGAACATTTAGAAAGCAGAGGAAAAATAAAGAAACAGAAAAGAAAATGATATACTACTCAAAGAAAATCAAAGTTTAAGTGTCGATATATTATCTTCCAAAGTTTTCATTACATTTTGTTTGTTTGTTTTCAGAGACAGAGTCTCATTTTGTCGCGCAGGCTGGAGTGCAATGGCGCCATCTAGGATCACTGCAACCTCCACCTTCCGGGTTCAAGCCATTCTCCCACCTCAGCTTCCCTAGTAGCTGGGATTACAGGCACGCCCGTCACGCCCAGCTAATTTTTGTATTTTTATTAGAGATGGGGTTTCGTCATGTTGGTCAGGCTGGTCTCGAACCCCTGTCCTCAAGTGATCCACCCACCTCGGCCTCCCAAAGTGCTGGGATTACAGGCATGAGCTACCAAGCCTGGCCTTTTATTACATATTTTTTAAAAAATTGAATTTCCTACATTTTGTACTAAGTTATGTTTTCCTTATACTTAATATGTGAGATTTTCAAGTCAAGTTTTTAAGCAAAATTTATAGTTATTAGTTAAAACTCTCACCCCATTAATTTATATGGACATATGAACATTAACTTTTCTTCTAGTGTTTGACATTTAAAATTGTATTTAAAAATTTTTGCAATATAAATAACACTGACTATATTCTTGAAGAAAGGTTTTTTTGTTCATTATTTCTTTGGTATACATTTTCAAAAAAAAGTACTTAGTATGACAAAGGATATGAATTTTAGTCTCAAAACATTTTGCTAAATTTCTGATTTAAAAAGTTATTTCAACATTATTGAAAAATAATGGAAATATCAAAGAATATAACACCTGTACCAGTATAAAATATTGTGATTATTTTCCTTTTCCTCCATTGAAAAGAAAAGTGATAACTCATTGTCTTAACTTGCATTTATTGACTACTAGAGAAGTCGAAGATTTCTTACTTTTATTAGACATTTTTATTATCTTTTAAAAAATTATCTGCTCATAAATCTAATCATTTAAGATTATGATCTCTTTATAATATGCATAAAAGTTTCTCATTATTTTATTTTAATAATATTTTGGCATACATTATTTTTAATTTGAATATTGAAATAATTGTTTGCATTTCTTACAATCTTTTAGGGTCATATATTTTATTAACATTCAGACATTACACCAATATCTATTTCTTTATCTACACAAATATGAAACCACAGGTATAGCTGCATCTACCGATAGATAATCTCTCTATATAACTTTTACCATTTTATCATTCAAAAATATTTTGCACTTTAAATCTATTTTTTCTGCATAATTTTATGAGTTAAACTAAAGCTTGCATTGATTGAATTCAGATTGCAGATGTGTTCAGCTTGATTTTTTTTTTCTTCTGCCCCCATAAAAATTTGAAATCGCATCAAAAAATCATCATATTTCATATTTAAGGGAAAAACATCTTTTATTCTAACTTATCCTGAAAAGTTAAGGCACCCCAGTTTCCTACCACTTCCAAAATGGGTGCACACATGCTTACTCCTATTCCCTCTTCACACTCTTTCCTGCCTGGGTCCTGAAATAATTTGATCCTGTAACTCCTATCTAAATTAAGGATTGGCAATCTTTTTCTGTAAAGGAGTAGGTAATAAATGCTTTGGCTTTGCAAACCATACGATCTCCTTTGCAACTATTTAATTCTGCAATTGTCGCTGGAAGGCAGCTATGCACAATCAGTAAATGAAAGTGTTTGGTTATGTTCCAATAAAACTTTACTTAAAAATCCAGGCAGGAGGATGGATTTGGCCCACAGTCGGTTTGTCATCTCCTGATCTGAATGATCCCCACTTGGAGCAAGAGCTAACCAAAGACACCACTTTAATCTCTGTTATCAGATAGATAGATGCTTATATCATACTTTAAATTCTTAATTATATCAGATGCAGTTTTTATGTAACTTCCCTTTGCCAAGTGTGTTACAATTTGTCGGTACCATACTCATAACTTAGTATGATAATTTAGCATCCACAGAAGCACTTTGCTTTTACAAAATTCTTGTATCTACTCCTACCTGATTTTTACTTAGCTATATGTCAATGCAGTACGCCAAGTTCCCAGAAAAACTATGTTAGAATTTTGACTAAAATTAAAAGCAATTTCTGTATAACTCATGTATTTGATATATTAATTTATCATTCAGGAACATGGCTTCTATCTGTATTTTGTTCCCATAAAATTTTCTTTTCTTGTAAAGTTTTATAATTTTTTTGTATGAGTTATTTGAAATATATGAGGATTATTTATATGTATTTTATAATTGTTTTTTCTGAATACATTCTCTTTTAAATGTATTTTCAAGTTAGCTATTACTGGTATATAAAACATTATTAATTGCTACATTTTTATCACATATCAGGATATTAGACTTAATTTTAAAATAGTAAAAAATGCTTCCTAGTATTCAAGAATGTTTTAAAAATTGGTTTTAGTCAGCAAAATTTTCAATATTTTCACTAAATGCATTTTGGAGTCTATTAAAATGCTCTTAAAATATTTTTATTTTTGATGTGATATATTACATTAATGGATTCTCCAGTATTAAGTCAACGTTGTCCTCCTAGAAGAACACCTAGAATTAAAAACTTTCAACAAAAGTATTTTGAAGTATTACTAAGCTTTAGTAAATCAAATCAGATCCTCCTAATATGTTTACTTCTCTTACAAGAACTTCACCAAGTGATCTTGGTTAAAGATAAGAACTAAAACAAAAAGAGTCTGTGAAGGGAACCTGTGCACTTTTCCTCTTCTAGACTTCCTGAAGAGCAAACACAATATACTGTTATTAGGGAAATTTCTGCCAGATTCTAAAAATATCCACTTCATTTTAATGTAACGAAGACAGTATTTAATTGAGCCCACCAAGTACATGAATAGACAATACAAATTATACTTTTACTGTAGTTAAACTGCAATATCTTAATGTATTTGAATACACTATTTTAATCCAAGCATATTGTATATCAATGTTAATGAATTGTGTTCTATGCAATATAAAAAAAGTCACCTCATGCATTAGTGTTAACATCTACAAGCAAAAATAAGTTAGTGCATTATACATAAAATATAAGCTTTAAATATTTTAATGTTTTTGATTGCAAATAAACTTATACTATCTTATTAAAATAAATGAGTCTATTAGAATTCATTCAGATGTATAATTTCCATAAGAAGTATGCTATCTAGAAAGTATAAAATGCCACGAAATAAAATGTTGTAAGAACACACGTAATATATATTTTGCCATTACCAAGTGAACTATGTTAACTTTATTTAAATCTGTAATAAAATTTATAATTTGGTATAAGCACACTTGTTAAAGATAGTATCACAAAGTGCTACTCATCCAAAAATAATTACACGGTTGCAGCTCTTTGCAATTAATTACAAAAGCAATTATATGCAAGGACAGGGTAACATATGCTGTCTGGGAGCAAAGCATTTGGTACTCACAGATACAGATGGGTATGTTTGCAGACCATTGGTTATTCTCTTGACAAACAATGGATTTCTCTCCAATTAATTCAAACCCAAACTGGCATTCAAACCTTAAAACATCACGATTAGAAAATCCATCGCCTTCTCTAATTCCATATAAGGGTGTACCAGGATCACCACAACTTTCTTTCTCAATTTCTGGAAAAATAGAAGATAAAAGTCACCTTCCAAGGGTTGCAGGCATATGATACCCATTATACAAGTTAGGTAGATATATGCTCTTTGTTGTGGAGATGTTTCAGATCAAAAAATAGATATATACTCCAATCTTATTTTTTTTTTTTTTGCCACTCTGATAGGCATGATTGGATAAATGATCTTTACAGAATAATTAGTATATATCTTTCTTTTTGTAGATGAAGAATCTGAGGTTATCAGAGCTAATGAGGTGGCCAGAGGCCATGTACTTAACAAAAACTATGATAAGATCTCAGATTTTCTCTTTGTATGACATATACACATAAATGTACACACACCTAGATATAAATGTATATTTCCCTCAAATTCCAAAGACTTTTCTTATTCTTATAATTTCTACAGGATATAGTAAATCTTTGAATCATGACCAGGACATGAGGGAACATTCTCTGTGTCTATACTCCTACAGAAATCGATGAATACCTGTCACCTAGGATTTGTTCCTCAATCTGGTACTTTTTGGTTGAATTATTTCCCCAACTAGACCCCCCGACCAAAATAAATCTACTCAAAGGAAGCAATCAGGTTTGAATTCCAAAATACTCAGCTATGTTCCTTAATAAATGTTTCTTGGATCAATTGAAAGAGATCGAAAAAAATATTTTAACACCATTAAAACAACCTTTGAAGTGCATCCAAAGAAACTTCAAATATCTGGGATCATCACTGTTTAACTATGAATGTTAGCAGGAAATTATTGTGGTGGTTGATTTGGCTTATAAGTCACATAAAATCTTAGTAATACAGTTGTCTTCAGACAAATAATAGTAACAAGTAAAAATAAATACAAATTTAAAAAATGTAACTTTAAGATAAAGTTATAGTCTCTCCTGACACTCCAATATCATCACATTCCTAGCTCCTCTGTTACCCACTAGCACCAATTTAACGTGTATCTTTCCAGTTCTGTTTTCAAGATGTATAATTCCATGCAGACATATCTGTTATGTAACATTATAGAAACCTAAAAATTATCTTCACAAAAACTATGCAGTATTGTTTCATGTATATCATACTTTAACTTTTATTATACTGTCAATATTATTTTCTTTCTCCGTTTTAACCAAACAATATGTTTTAGAGACACTTTTGAACATCCTTGTATGCTTAGCAGAAATCATACGTGCTTTTGATGATTTATTTAAAAAACTGGATTTGATTTTATATTTTCTTAGACTTTTTTATCTATCAGGGACATTAGTCTATAATTTTTTTCTTCTGCTCTTCCTACCTAGTTTTAATATCAAGAGAAGATACTAGTAATTTTCCACATTTTACTAGTCTTTAGTTTAATTTTTATGAGAAAAAATATTGGAGTATTGCATGGATGAGTTTGGTAGTAATGTGACTACCATTTTATGTGCCTCTAAGGTTATTTTCCAATTTAAGTGTTTTTTTGTGGTTGTTTGTTTTTTCTTTTGTTTGTTTCTTGGAAAGGGTTTTGGACCAATATTGGCAACCCATGAACCTTAGGGAAGTGACATTTTTCAAGGTTTGCTGGTAGTTTAGTCCTAGCAGAATTCTGTTACAAGATTTTTTAACATCTCCATTACAAATATGCCATAATTATTTCTCACTTCTAATGCTATTAGTATTTACTTTCTGGTTTTCTTTCTTCATATTTACAAAAGGTTGTCAAATTTATTAGTCAGCTTAAAGAACCAGTGTTTGCTGTTGATAAATTCTGGCTTTTTTTTTTTTTTTTTGACGGGGCTCTTACTCTCTCACCCAGGCTGGAGTGCAGTGGCATGATCTCGGCTCATTGTAACCTCTGCATCCCAGGTTCAAGAGATTCTCCTGCCTCAGCTTCCTGGGACTACAGGCGCTCATGCCACCATGCCCAACTAGTTTCTGTATTTTTAGTGGAGACGGGGTTTCACGATGTTGGCCAGGCTGGTCTCGAACTCCTGAACTCAAGTCATTCACCCTCCTTGGTCTCTCTAAGCGCTGGGATTACAGGTGTGAGCCACCGTGCCTGGCAAATTCTATTGTTTTTATTTTAATTTAAACATCTTTTCTTTTTATATTTTTGGATTCCATCTTCAGTTTTCTTTTGGATTATATTGCTGCTCTTTTTTTCTGTTTTCCTGAGTTGAAATCTTAGAACTTTTTTTTAGTGTATTTTCAGTCTTTCTCATTTATTAAAAAATAAAACAAATTTAGCTCTAAATTGATATGAAGAGATTTTATTGTTCACTTGTGAGAAGTTTGTAGTTTGTGTTTTGGTTTACTTTGTAACTCATAAATAATTTCTGAGTGTTTTAAAATTTATGGGTTGAGCTATCATTTTGTTGTTGCTTTCTAACATTGTTTCTTTAGTATTCCGTATATGTATATCAAGGTCTTGCAGTGGATAAATAAAGGAAATATATTCATTTCAATTTGTTATATTAATCAAGTTGAAATTATTTATGCCTTCAATGTCTACTGGCTCCAACAACTTCTTAAAGAAGCCTGTTAAAGTTCCAAGTGTGAATTCGACAACACTCTTTAATAGTTGAATCAAATTCATTTCACATATTTTAAAGCATCGTTCAGTTATTTAGTTTATGCAACAGTTGATCATCTTACACACTAGTTCCTCTTTATCTGCATTTTGCTTTCTGCGGTTTCAGTTACCTGAGATCAACTGTGGTCCAAAAATAGGTAAGTATAGTACAGTGAATTATTTTGAGAGAGACAGAGAGCACATTCACATAACTTTTATGACAGTATATTATTATAATTGTTCTATTTTATTTTTAATTATTGTTATCAAGCTGTGTCTAATTTACAAATTAATCTTTATTCTATCTATCTATCTATCTATCTATCTATCTATCTATCTATCTATCGAAAATAATAGCCTGTATAAAGTTCAGGACCATCTGTGGTTTAAAGCACCCATTGGGGCTATTGAATCATATCCTTATGAACAAGGTGGGACTACTGTATTTACATGTGTCAGATGATGTTCTAGGTGTCTAGGACACATCAATAAATAAACAAAGATCTCTCTCTCTGAAAGCATGTATTCCATTGGAAATTTGCAAACTATAAATAATAAACAGTCCAGGCGCGGTGGCTCACGCCTGTAATCCCAGCACTTTGGGAGGCTGAGGCAGACGGATCACGGGATCAGGAGATCGAGACCATCTGGCTAATGCAGTGAAACCCCGTCTCTACTGAAAAAAAAAAAAAAAAAAATTAGCTGGGCATGGTGGTGGGAGCCTGTAGTCCCAGCTACTCCGGAGGCTGAGGCAGGAGAATGGCGTGAACCCGGGAGGCGGGGCTTGCAGTGAGCCAAGATTGCACCACTGCACTCCAGCCTGGGCAACACAGTGAGACTCTGTCTCAAAAAATAATAATAATAATAAAATAATAATAATAATAAACAAATAACGTCTTATTTTATAATGTGATATACAGTTCAATGAAAGAAAAGATTAAACAGGAAATAGTTATGTTAAAGTGCTAGGTGATTGGGGGGTGATACTATTGCTAGGTTCACAGTTTATTACTCTTATACCTTCTTCTAAAACTTGTTTCTGTTATTGAAAGAATAGATCCTTCTTCATCTGAAAATGTCTTTATTTTGCCCTCACTATTGACTAATAGTGGGTAAGTTATAAAATTTTAATTCAAAATGATTTGCCCTCAGCATTTTAAAGATATTTTCCTCTAGTCTTTTATCCATCTAGTATTCCTGATAAGAAATATGATACCAAATTGATTTTAATTTTCATAATTAATCTGTCTCTTCTCCTCCATTCTTTTAAGAGCTAGGATTCCTTCTCAGACTTGCTGTTTTTAAATATACTCATTTTTAAGTCTATTTTTTCTACTAAGTGCTCAATAGATTACTTCTGTCAAATACCTTGTAACTTTTTTTTTTTTCAATTCTAGGAAATTGTTAGCATTATTTCCTTTAAAATGTTGTTTATTATATGTCCTCATCTTTCTGAAACTTATTCACATTGAATGTTGAAAATTAGAAATTTAGCCTTCATGTTGCTCAACCTTTCAACTTCTCATTTGTAAAGATTCCCTATTTTGCATTCTAGAAGAATTCAATAATTCCATATTTATATAAAAAATACACATATACACACATATACATTTATATATTATAAACTTCAGTTTACTAATTCACTGTTTCGTTTTATTTAATTACAAATTACCTTAAATATTGAAAAATCTTGTTGTCATTTCCTAAATATTTAATGATTTTAATCATTGTTATTTCTTATTGCTTCATAGTCTTCTTCTTTTTTTATTCATGAATACAATTTCTCCCCTTAATTTTGTGAGGGTACCTACTCTAATTATTTAAAAATATTTTCTTATTGCTCTTTTACTGTGTTTCCTTGGATTTAATGATAAGTGTATTTAAAGAGTAGCACAGTGAACTTTATTCTAATGCAGCATATTTCAAATTTTATACAGTGAATCATAATGGTTGTTATGCCTATGATGAAAAGATGCAGGAGGAAGTAGTTTAGGGGAGAACAAAACTTATGTTTGAGCAAGAAAACACAATGATAACAACCATTTATTTTCATGTTTATTTATACTTTTTTATCTTGGGAATACCCTACAGCCTCAAAACAATTAAAAATTTTATCTTTTCATTCTTAGGCATCATTATATTTTTAAATACACTTTCTATTATCTTTGGGTTTGTGTTGAGAGTGAGTGTTAATCTATTTGAAACCATATTTTTTTCTTTGCTCCATTAATACAACATTCTTTAAAATTAAGAATATGTTTTAAATGTAATGAAGCTGTAAATACTCTCTAACATAGACTGGAAACAATACACAGTAAGTAAAGTAAACACGCACCTATTATGTACCACTGCTTTTGGATTTTTTTCCTGTGCAGCAGTGATACGGTTAGGCTTTGTCTCTCCACCCAAATCTCGTAAATTGAGATTTGTATAAAGTCTTAATCACCATGCT